ATGAAACTATCCTCAGATGTTGTTCTCCATCTCTATTGTCACACCAGGTAATCACTTCTTGCACTGAACCCCTCAAGTGCATACTGGCTGTTACATCCTAACAACCTATGTGTTGTTGGACAAGAGAACTTTACAATAGAGGTACAGCAGCAGCAGGGCCTGACTGAAATGGAAGATTTCCAGAGCCGTGATTGCAATGGTAAGCCTGATTTGTACACCAGTTGAGTTCTTACGCTTGTGGCATCATGCATGTCTAATCTATCCGGCACCATCACCGATGCTGCTCTAAATGACAAAGGTTAGGATCAGGCATATCAGACAATCAGAGTATAGGGTTTCATGATTAGTGGGTTTTACCGTTTCCTACTGTTCTTCCTCATCTTCACTCCTAATTCTAGTCAGTTTTGCTAAGCACTTGGCTATAAGCAAAATCAACTACAGATAGGAAAGCAAAGCTCCTCTCTCTGCTGCTGGAGAGCTAAGTGTCTGACCTGACATAGGTGGGTCATTCCATCATATAGCAAAGACAGTAGACTATCATGTTACATGGCTGTTCAAAAAAAAATTTTTAAGTCCTTGGCACAAGAAGAATGTTTATGAACATAGGCAGATTCTTCCAGTTGTTTTACAGTCAATGAGACATTACTCACTGCTACCTTTGGGTTTAGCTCTTTTCCCCAACACTCTCTTACGGTTTGGGTGAAGGTTTACAGAGTAAATTAGCTTCTCAGTCAACAATTCATACATTTTCGTTTCATGACAATAGCTGCAATCCCCTCAACGAAACAGCACTCTTCCTACGTCCTCCCGGGGTTCTTGGTCCCCATGACCCATCTTTCCTGCCCGCCGACCTTTTGAACTTTGTTTTTGTGCATGTGTCTGCTTTGGTCTCATATAGTTTATCATTCTGAGAAGCACTTTCTTCATGGGTGCTACTGTTTACTTTCTAAATCTGTTCTCTGGCTGCTGGTCATCTCTGGGAATAGATTTAGTTCCAGGTTTGACAGGCATCTCAGGGCTATGGTCTTGGTGGTTCCACCAGTCATCTTGTCTTTTTATGAATTTGATTTTTCGTTCTACATGTCCCCCTACTCTGGCAGAACCTTCTATCATGATCCCGATCATAGTACTGGTATTTGGTAGTAATAGCCAGTCCCACCTAGTTCTGGCTACGGGTAGTGGAGGCTGTGGTTTGTCTGATCTGTTAGTCCTTTGGACGACTTATTTTCCTGAGTCTTTAGTTTTCTTCCTTCTTCTTGGTGCCACATGGGAAGAGACCAATCATTCCTCTTGGATGGCCTCTTGCAAGCGTTTAAGACCCAGTCACCACTCATCAAAGTAGGATGTAGAACATTGTCTTTATGGACAACTAATTAGCATTATCTTATGCTACTTGACCGAGATTTGCTGGGAAATTATGGTCCCAAACCCTCAAGCTCAGTGACTCAGTCCCTCAAGTATTTTGTTATGGCTAAAAAGTGTGCATAACTTTGCCCCCTTTATGCTTGAACATATGTGCAGCAATACCAAAGTACATGTTGAAATATTCCCTGCTAAACCTATATATGCTCATGTGTATACTCCCCTTGCCTTCCCTCACCCGTTCAGCTTACATATCTACCTGTTCATGTGTAAATTATTGTTGTTATTACTGCTCTCAATAGTACATAATAGTATTTACCTTTGTTGCCTTTTCCTCTTGGGCTCCTCCCAGTATCTCTTTCTACCTTGGTCATACTTTGCTGATCTGACCCTTATTGTACATTGCTTTCCAGGTCACCCAAATTAATTACGACACATCTCATCCTCTCCCTCCCATCCCTGGTAACCACCAAAGAATGGGTCTTTCTGTGAGTAAACCTCCTCTTGGTTTTTTTAAATAATAGTGGTCTCATACAATATTTGTCCTTTTGTGATTCACTTATTTCACTCAGCATACATTTCCTGCAGATATGACCGTGTGAGAGATTTTGGGGGTTTAATTCTTAATCTAATATAGAATAAGCAACACGAGATGAAAAAATAAAGTAAAAGGGCCCAACCCAAGAAATAAGATTTATATTCCACAACAGGCTTGATGGCAGCCAAATGCACACAAAATTAGAAAAGGGCAAAAGTACTTCTATGGAGCCAAGAGAACAAGACCACCTTTGATTGCCCACGGGAGCTGTTTGCCAGTCCACCAAGTGTTGGAATGCTGTCAGAAACACACGGGAAGGGATAATTCAGAACACCCAGCAGTTAAATTTGAATTGAGGTCACCAGTATGAGCAAAAGCAACACAAACCTGAGTCAGTGAAAATTCATTGTTCTTTGTCCTGTTCCCACCCCCACCCCACCCCACCCCATGTCCTCTGATCTATCTTCCTTCTATTGAATTTATATTATAACCCTCTTCACACACGCACGGTTCTGTCCGTTTTGGCATCAGCTGGTCTACAGAGCATATGCGGGGCCTCAAAACGTTCCATTATTATTCATTCCCTTTACACACACACACACACACACACACAATGGAAGCTCCTTCCTATGCCTACAGAAAGTGGTAAGCGTGTGCTTCCATAGGTTATTCCTAAGATTGTACCAAATCAGCCACATCAGTTCCAAGAGAGCTAAGCACGCTGCCCTACCCAGCAGTCACAGCTCTGCTAGCGTACCCGTCTGCCTTGGCTTCTGTGACCTGGTTGTGGCTCTTCTGCGCAATCACTTGCACATTAAAGGTGTGAGAACAGTGGTAATGAGGGAGAGAAAGTGAGAACTATGGCTCAGGGCCTCACAGTCAACTGCTATGTGTCACAGCCATGGTAATGCCTGCTTCTTAAGGATGCCTGCTCCTTGCAGCCTACTGTCTATGGTCTTGGTTGGCTCCAGTGAAGCTGACAAGAGTCAGAAAAGCAGGTAGAACTCCTAGGATGAAGAAGCATAAGGATCCCTCTCTTAAGGGCAGGGGAACTCCTTGAGAGCCCAGGACAACCAGTGTGCCTCAGATTTTATATCTAATGTGGAGGGAAGAAAACAATTCCACATTTCCATTCTCCTAATATGTCCTTGTGTATTAGTTTGTGGGGTTTCCAGGGACTAGGATTATTTTGGCCTAAAAGGTAAAAGACTTGGACATGACGTTTAAAATGAATTTTGAGTACTTTAAAGTGTAAGAGGGAAGAGGTAGGCAGGAGACGGAGGAGGAGGGAGGGACAGATGAAAGGAAGGAGGGAAGGAGAGGGTTTTGAGACAGAATGAATGAGATATCTTTTCTAGAAATATATTTCAGTCTCTGACTACTCTGGGCTAGTATGTGTCATTTTGACTACCTTATGGCTTGTGCATAAAAAATAAATTTAAAACAGAGTAAGATAACTGGAGTAGACATCCCTTGCACCTAAGTAATTAAAAATGATTATCACACTGGGGGCAGGGCACACTTGACGCTTGTATATGGGGGAGCCCTTCCTTCCCTTCCTTCCTTTTTAAGAAAGTAGATGCTAAAATTCTGCCCTCTATAATCATTCTAGGGCTAAAAATGGCTATTTCAGTGACTCGGGCTGGCCAAACTCTCCTAATTATACATTCTAAATATCTGTATGTATGTTAGATGCAGGAACCTGGTGGTGTAGTGGTTACCCATTGGGCTGTATTCCACATGGTCGGCAGCTCAAAACCACCAGCAGCTCTGCAGGAGAAAGACTGGGCTTTCTACTCTCTTAAACAGTTACAGTCTCAGAAACCTACAGGGAGTTGCTGTGAGTCTGCTTTGACCCAGTGGCCACGAGTTTAGGTTTTCCGTTTATATATTAGGCATTGGGCTGCTAACAACAAAGTCCCGGCTCAAACTCACCAGCTATTCTGTGAGAGAAAGATGCTGCTGTCTGCTCCCACAGAGTTACACCCTCAGAAACGCTATATAGGGTTTGCTATGAGACCCAATCGACAAAATGGCAGTGGGTTGGTTAATAGGAATTTTCTATGTATCTGAAGAATTACATAGGGTATGGACTTCGACTGTAAAATAAATTCCACTACTGTTTCATCAATTACTGCCCAGACGAAGTTCGAAGTAAATGGTAAAGGTGGCCCTGCATCACAACAGTGACCGAGGGCAGATCGAGCTCTTTCCACTGGTTAGTCTAACCGTCCATCCTCATCTATACAGTCCATCCTCATCCATACAGGGCAGCGTGGTCTTTGGGCACAGACTTTTGGTCCCCGGATTTCTGCTGCAAACCACGAAGAATGTCCCCATTACACTCTTGCTAGAACAAAGCCTGTGCCAGCCTCGGGGCCACCCAGGAGCTCAGCAGTGAGCCGGAGCAGCCCAGCAGCCCAGCTTCCACCAGAGACCACTCCTGGGCCAGGAAGGAAAGAGAAAGAATGATGAAGAAGCCTTTGGGGTTCAGGAAACCTTCACAGTCTACCCCTTTTCTCCCTCCTCACCCAGGATGGAAGGACAAAGGGAGATGGGACCAAAAGCAACCTGGGAGAGCAAATCTTTCCAGAGGGTAAATATATTCAACGGAAGAAACCTGCACATACACGCACCCCACCTCCCCACCCCTTTCCACTGCCACCTTCGCACACCCACAAGAGTCACCTCTGTCTGGGTCATCGGACCTGCAAGCAGTGGGGGTGGGGGGTGGGGTGTTGTCACCGGCTCTGCAAGAGGCTCAAGCCCTAGGCCACCAAATTCCAAATTCGCCTTTAATGATGGGGGAGAAAAGGCGAGCTGGGAGCCAGAGGTCAGGGCAGGGTCTCCTCCTCCTCCTGGAGGAAAGGGAGCCGAAGAGAAGAGGCGGAAAGGACAGAGCACGTAGGGACGCGCAGACGGCGTCCAGGGGGTGAGCGCAGCAGGGTGCGCCGGACCCTGGGTCCATGGCCGCGCAGCAGCAAGGCGGCTGGCAGCGGGTCGGCCACCCGCGCAGTGACTCAGTGAAAGTGGCCAAGGACGAGCCCGGGGAGAACCCCACCGCACGGGCGCAGGCGACGCCGCAGCCGCGGGGGCTCACCGTGTCCTTGGACGAGCCCAGCTTCTTGAGGCCGTCCAGGGGCAGCAGGTCGGCCGAGTCCTTGTGGATGAACTGCACCGCCTGCTTCATTCGGCGCTGCTGCCGCAGCGCCGCCGCCTCCCGCATGTCGGTCTCCTTGCGGCCGCCCTCGGTGAGGAGCCCTGAGTAAAACATGGCTGAGGCGCCGGCGGCCCGGTGGCCCGAGGGTTCCCCGCTGCCCGGCTGCCCCGCAGCCTCGAGCTCCTCCAGCGCCACCCGAGCCGCGCGCGCCGCGCCTTTTATAGCCGAGCGTGACGTCAGGGCGGCAGCCAGTGCGCGCGCGGGGGCGGGGCCTGGCAGCGTCCCCGCCGGGCGCGCGGCTCCCCAGCGCCCCCCGTCGGAAGCTCCGCTCCCTGCCAGTCCGCCCCGCCCCGAGGGAGAGCCAGCGAGCCTCGGGTAGTGCTGGCGGGGCTGACCCGGGGCGCGAAGGGAGCATCGCGGCCTCTGCATCCAGCCGCCCCGCTCCCTGGCAGGTGCCCGCATCCTCTGGATGGGGAGCGGCCTCGCCCTCCACCGCTGCCAAGTCTGCCCCACCCCCACGCCGCCCTCCGGGGGTACCGGCTCACCTGTCCACGCCGTGGCAGACCCCGGAATCACCGACAGCTGGGCCATGCCCCGAGTCCGGTCGCCGTTCGGCTGCTCGGTTCGGTAGATCCCCACGGCAGGGCGCCCCCACCTCCGCGCGCCCTTCTGGAGCCCCCGCGCCCGCCGCCGGCAGCACGGACCGAAGTTGGGAGAGCCCAGGATTTCACCAACTTCAGGTTGGTCCCCACCCACTGGGACACGTGACTGGGGGTGGGGGGTGGGCAGCGCCTACGGGAGGGCTGGCTGGACCTGGGCCTGGGCCTTGGGGTGGGGGAGACTTCCTTCTCTGACACTCAGTGCCTGCGGCCAGTCGGGTACCCGCACTTACCAGGGGAGAAGGCGGGTGAGGGTCCTGCCGCCACCCAGGGACTGCACAAGAATGCGAGTCCGACACCCGCTCTTCAGAACACTTGTCTCACTGCGAACTGGGGCTTACCATCGCAGGGGGCTGGCGCGCGTCCTTCCCATGTTCAAGCCCGTTTTTCGTGAACCTTCCTTGCTTTAAGCCCTACTTATGGTGCCTTGTGCATCCTGAGTTCTCGCCTAGATGCTGACTTGATATCAACCTCTTTCCGGGAATCAAGTCATAACGTCCAGGACAATATGGGAGATTCCGATTCCTGGCCACCGTAAGTGTGCAGAACTGTCTCGCAGGGTTCCCAAGGCAGAAACAGATCACAGGAACTTTCGGGTGGGGTGCCACTAAGTTATGAGCCGTTTGGACCACTTAGATGCCTTTTGGACCAACTAGTCACCAGTCCCCCAGCCTTACTCTTAGGACTCTTAAAGGTGAAGACCCACATTACTACGTGACCTCCTCCCTCCAGCTTCGCCACTCTTCAGTCTCTTGTGCCTTCTTGAGAGGGGAGACTAAGCGCCTTCTTGCTCCTTGAGAATGCACTACCTTTGACCATCCCTCTCCCCCTGCATGGAATGGTCATTTTCTTTCATTTTCTCCAACATGCTTGTAGGACCTCAGCCCCATGATCATTTCCTTAGGAAATCCATCTGTGACCTCCTGGAGTAAGTGAATTTTCTCTGGTTACATATTATATATGAGGGTAAGTAAAAAAAAAAAAATTGTTCCAAAGTGATAGACACATTTTTAAAAAATAAATCATTTTATTGGGGCCTCTTACAGCTCTTACAACAATCCATACATCAATTGCATCAAGCACATTGATACATATGTTGCCACCATCATTTCCAAACATTTTCTTTCTACTTGAGCCCTTTGTATCAGCTCCTGTGTTTATTCCTTTTTAATCATTTTATTGGGGGCTCGAACAACTCTTATCACAATCCATACATACATCCATTGTGTCAAGCACATTTGTACATTTGTTGCCATCATCATTCTCAAAACATTTGCTTTCTACTTGAGCCCTTGGTATCAGCTCATTCCCCCCCCTTCCCCCGCTCCCCCATCCCTCATAAACCCTTGATAATTTATAAATTATTGTTATTTTGTCAAGATAGACACCTTTATTAAAGAAAATATTAAAACATGAAGTCGTTGTTTCCCTACGTGCCCACAATCAAGGTCTGTAGACTTTCTGAAGGCAGTGTCCCCGTCTCGCCAAGATTTCCTAGAAGCCATCTGCTCTGCGATGACACCATGGAGAATCGCAGTTTCTGCATCCCTGCGGGACGCAAACACTGCTTTTTGAGTTTGGGGACAAAAAGAAACCATAAGGGGCTAGAATAGGGCTGTAGGGTGGATGGGGTAAGGTTTCCCAGTGAAGTTCTTTCTCATAGAGCAATGTCGCCTCGCTACCCTCCAAGAATGAGTCAGTGCATTGTCATGATGCAAAAAAAAAAAAAAAAAAAAATCCCCTGGGCAGCTTTCCTGGCTTTTTTTGTTTTTTCCATCAGTGCCATTTTCAATTTTCTTAAAACTTCTTCATTATAAGCCTCCATGATTGCCCTTTGTCTTTTGAGAAAATCTCTCAAAATTACTTCTTTCGGAGTCCCCAAACCAGTCCCATTGCCTCCAGAGCTGCCTTGTCTCTGGTGTAACTGGCCCAGCACAGCCCCTCTGGAGCCACTGTTTTGATTGGACCTTTGACTGCCAGACATCAAACAAGAGTGAGGTGAGTGTATTCCTGAGAGAACTTGTCTGCAGCCATCGCGGACTGCTGTCATGTTTACCTGCATTTTGTTTGGAACAAGCCCATTTATAGACTGGAATCCGAGCAGCAATCGTTTTTTGTTTACCCTGCTTCTATCTTCTAGATAGTTCAAGGGTTTTTGTTGTTGTTGTTGGGTTGATTTTTAATATTTGGTTATTTGATTGGCACTTGTCCCCCTCACCAGATTGTAAACTCTTTTATTACTTGCCATTAAAACCCCAGCACAAAGAAAGCCCAATAACTATTTGCGTTAAGTGTGGTGAGACCCGAGCCGCAGTCTTTTTAATAGCTGTAGATGAAAGTTGGGCGTTGAATAAAGAAGGCCAAAGAAGAGCCCATTTTGAATTGTGGTGCTGGCACAGAATATTGAGAGCACCACGGACTGCCCGAAGGACAAACAAATCTGTCTTGGAAGAAGTACAGCCAGCATGCTCCTTTAGAGACAAGGCTTTGGACATGTTGTCAAGAGACCAGTCTCTGGAGAAGGACTTCATGGTCTGTCAAGTAGAGGGGCAGCAAAAAAAGCGGAAGGTCCTCAATGAGATGGATTGACAGTGGCTGCATCAGTGGGCTCATCAGGAGGAGGGCAAAGGACCGGGCAGCGTTTCCTTCTGTTGAGTGTGAGGTCGCTATGGGTCGGGACGGACTCGGTGGTACCTAACAATAACAAAAAGTACGATGAGAAGTTATGGTCTCACCCACGCCTGAACTGCCTGCACCTAGAACATGAGCTGGTTTCTCAGGCCTGGGCGACATCCCGAACCAGCTCCTTTCCTTCTGTTCCTGTCTTCAGCACTTGCCCCAGATTTAAAGGACACACACTGCTTGTGGGAAAGCAAACAGAGGGCTGCTCACCTGGCTTCAAGGAAGCCCTGGTACTAGATTCCTCTTCCGCTCTCCACACCTCCCCACCCCACCCCTCACACATTCAGAACAGACTCTCCTGGGAGATCACCAAGTGGGCCAAATTGTAGCTTACCTCCCAGACTCCTGGCGCACTTCCAGCGTGAACAACAGTAACTGCCCTGGTCCCTCTGTCCTGTCGCCTGGCTCTCTGCCTGGTCATTCCTCCAGGCAGGGGTAGCCCAGGGAACTGTGAAAGACAGCCTTCTTGTCTCTCCAGGACAGGCGCCTCTAAGCTGGGCACGATGTCAGGACTGAGCATCAGGAGGGCATCTGGGGCTGGGCACAGGCAGCTGCTTTCCTCAGGAGGAACACCAGGATGGTGGAAATTTTGGGACGAAGAATTGGTGTCTCCATTCCCTGGGCAGCTTAGCTCAGTGCTGGAGCCCATTTTATTTATTGTTTTTTTTTCTGTATGACCTAGCTGTAAGAAAGGGGCTCCTGTCAGAGCTACCTGTCCCCAGGGAAGAGCATGAGGTGGAATCCCTCTGGTCAAACTGGAAATCAGCCAGATCGAGTGCTGCTGGAAGCCAAGTGAGGCCTTGACTGGAGCCGGCATCCTTGTGTGAATGCAGCTCTTTGCTGCAGTGGGATTAGTGTTCTGGGACTGCCTCTGTGGCCACAGCACTGGCTGGACCCCTCACCAGCCAGAGACCTTCCTTGGGACCAGGCTGGCACCATCATTGTCCTTAAGTATGGGTCAGCATGGCGAGGCCAGCCCCACTCCTGCACACGTGTTGTGAATTCCTGCAGTTTACTGACCAGCCAGTTCAATTTGAGGAGGGTCACCTTGGGGACAGTTCATCAAGTGTGCCCAAATGACTCCAATTAAGTCCTTCCTAGCTCTGTGCCTCAGCTTTCATCTCTGTAAAATGGTTCCGGTGAGCATCGAGTGAGATTGTATTTGTACAGTGGGCTTTGTAAACTGTTGAGGGCTGTGCTGACAGATTATTATTTATCTGCCATGTACTCCACCTCCCCTAGCCCATGGACCCATTTTGGAGGGAGTATATAATATAGTTGTTGGAAGACAGGATTTTCCCAATGTCCCCCAATAATTTGTGTCGTAGTTTTTAAATGAGGACCTGTTTGAGGTATAAACTTGTCCTGGAAACACAAGATTTTCTACACACAAGTATAACAGCTTAGGCTCATAACTCACAACAACGCAGGTGTCTCAGAGTAGACTTGTGCCCCATGGGGTCCCCAGTGGCTGACACTTCAGGAGTAGATTGCCAGGCTTTTCTCGTGAGAAGCCTCTAGGTGGATTTGAACCGCCAGCCTTTTGTCAACGATTTGCCTCGCAGTTAGGTTGGAGTCCTGTCTGTCACTTGGTAACTTTGGGACTAGGGAGTGACTTCCCCATGATGAACTTCAGTTCTTTTTCTAGCTAATGGTGCTGACAGCACACCTGCTCTCAGGGCTGCCGCGAGGATTCAATAAAAGAAGACAGGACACACAGTCTGGCATGGCAGAAGGAAACGCCCATCGTTGGTACCATGTCAGGAGAACGCTTTGGCGGCTGTGCTCTGAGGGAGCGCTGACCATGGCTTCCTCAAAGCCTTCCTGCTGAA